CTCTCTCACGAAATATGATGAAGTAGTGAGGCGGCCCGAACAGGGACCAACAGTAATGAGGCAGAATTTAAGGGCGAAGGATAATCACTGGCAGAGCAATTCATCAGCAGCAACATAACAAAGAAAAAACATCGATAGCAGTGAATCACAGCGAATGCTGACCAATGGAAACCGCCGTTACCAGCACCACCACACGCCTCATTTCTTCGCTTGACGGCGCTTCCGCTTCAAACGACGCATCCTCTTCTTACGCCACTGAAAGAACCACAAAACGATCACAGTGCACCCTAAAGCACAGCGAAACTGACCTCTCACCCTCCGCCCATCACAAAACAGAACCCTTTCCTCCCCCTATCAAATAATGCAACAGCGGCATCACAAAAGCTTGAGGGCCAAACGGGACAATGTGCTCACTGGCGAGACAGACAAGCTGAATCACGAAAAACGGTTACCTTATCCCTCATCGCTGATCCCGAGGCACAGGCTCGCTTCGAACAACAACCACCGCGACGACGACCAAGAGCAGCAACGAGAACTGAACACGCAAACACTGCAAAACCTGAAATCAGCTCACAGTCTGCGCACCGTCGGACGGGGCACACTGCCCCACCGAGGCATAAAACACCGACACGCACCATAACCCCTCCCCCCTCAGACCACCACCTCCCTACGAATAACCTCCACCCCTCTCAACAACCCAGAGAACAAACCGCCCGAACAAAGAATTGTTGCTCTCGCTGAGACAACGCACCGTACCGGACACGCCGATCGATCAGAGGATGGTGCAACGAGTCGCACTAAGCATCAAAGCGTCTGCAACAGCACAAATTCGTTTGATTTGCAGGTTGACTTCGCTTTTTTGGCTGATGAACAAGAAGCAAAATCAGGAAACCGAAATCTACGAATGCAGGCAAGATGGGACAATAAAGACTGCTCCCATGCGAGTGGAAATTGTCTATAAATGCCCACTGTCAGTAGAGGACTTCCCTATTTATGAAGCTCACAAAGAAGTGAATAGGTTCGATTGGAACCCCGCAATAATTCCAATCTATTGCCTTGTATTTTCCTTCCAAAAGCTCACAAAAGCAAAGGTTGACTCCATTTACGTGTGTCCAGTCTGTTCTTCTTTTTGCTTAGTTTATATTTTACAGTGGAACTTGTTCACTCTGAAATTTAACTAAGCATTAGCTTCATAAATAGGAAAGCTCCCTTCTGATGATTGCTTTTTGGAAGACAATTTCCCTTCGCACAAGCTCTAGTTTTTTTTTGCTTTTGCTTTTTTATGCATTTTGTGCTGTATAACAGCAGTACAAAACGCATATTGTCACGAGGTTGTGCGTGCGTGTGTGTGTGTGTGTGTGTGTGTGTGTGTGTCCACAGCAACTTGTCCGCAACTTTCAACTCGGGAACCGATTGTTACGGGGTTGTCTGTGTGTGTGTGTCCGCAGCAACTTGTCCGCAACTTTCAACTCGGAAACCACTGTTTGTGTGTGTGTGTGTGTGTGTGCCCGCAGCAACTTGTCCGCAACTTTCAACTCGGGAACCACAAGCTAGGAAGCTGAAAATTTAGGGGAACGTTCCCCACCCACGTGTGACTCCGCAAATTTAAATTCAGCCTCCCCGTACCCGTGGGTAACGCGTACGATCCCGTAAAAGTTTTTTACGGGTAAATTAATATCTCGGGAACCACGAAGTCTAGGAGGTTGAAATTTTAGGGTAATGACCCCTGCCC